ATATACCCTTGGGAGAGTGAAGAACGAAAAACATAGTTATGTGAATAAAAGTTGGAGTACACTTCAGATCTTGCTCAAATATATTCATTCCACTTGCTTGTCTTTGTTATTCAGAATTACCCAGCACCTTTGCAACTGCTGGCATTTGTAATTTTAGCACCCTCTAGTATTTTCTAGAAGAGTGCCTTACAAACTTTTTTGGCTGCAGTAAGACATGCATTTTTCCCAACTGTCTAATGTGTGTATCTGGTATTTTTCATTCTATTTTTTTCAGAAGTGGACTAGAGAGGGGGAGCTGTCCTAGCTCAGTGATAGAGTACTTGCCTCGCATGTATGAGGTTGTGGGTTACATTCCCACCTCTTAAAAGTTAGATATGAACCATTGTTTTTCAAAACCTATTAATAGAAAAGAGGACCTAGAACACACTGTGGCCTTCTGTGTCTTTAATATTTTCATTCCTTCTCATCATTTTCTTCTCTAGATCTAGCAGCCCAGGAATGCTTTTATGTTGCTGAGGCAGCTACAGTTGCAATTTATGCCTTAAAACTTGGGTGTATCTATAGGCTTTCAACTTCGTGTGGCCTCATTTACTAAGTTATTTCTTCTATCTGATGCCTTCACTTCTTAGAGCCCAGTTTTCATACAATAAAAAACTACTGAAAAAAACTTTGAAATCATAACCAGTGTGTGTGTGTGGGAAGTAACTGAAGTGGGACCCCGACTCTGTAAACACACCTGGCTAAGTTGTTGGAATTTTATGTTTATAAAATAAATGTACTGAAATGGAATGTGAGAAGTATAAATATGCTTTCATGTACACAGAAATTTCTTAAATTATACAGTATTTATTACAAAGTATACAAAATATTTTGGAATCCAAATTAAGAAAAAAGTTGTAAGGAAGATTAAGAAAAAATTTAAGTTAGAATTAGTCATCATTTGATGCAGACTGAGTGTACTCAAGCGTGGAGTCCTCAATGTGTTCCTCCAAGTTTTCCACCATGAGCAGGCCAAAGCGATTGCTCTCCTCAAACCAGCACCCAGTGTTGGAGGGGGGTCCCGTGCTCTTCTCTGACCTACTAGCACCCTTTTTCTTGTGCCTTTTTTTCCTTGTATTTGGTTTACCCTTTGGTAGGAATAATTCAGCTGGGGCATAAGACCTTGTGGCATTAAATAGAAGTTCATAAAGTTGCTTAGCTTCAGGACACACACTCAAGAGGTCTTCTACAGAGGTTGATGCTAGCAGTCGTTGGCATAATCCATGCACCAAGCTCCCGTTGTATAGTCTGTTCAGTGGGAGAAAAAGTGGTTTTCAAGCATGAGTTCAGTGTAGCAGGACAACTGTGGTCAACATGGCTTCAACAAATTTATCTGACCTTTGAGAGTTCTTATTCCTATAAAAGTATTAAAATCTGTTCCTTGTTGGAAGGATCTGAACTAATACAATTACTTCTTGCCATTATCAAATTAAATGATGCTAACTAGTTTTACAAGTAGCCTCACATTGAGTAGGCCTCTCTAATTCTACAAAGAAAACGAATTTAAGATGACCTTGATAAACCAAATCAGAAAATGGCATTAACTAGAATACCTAATCTTAGTATATGACTTACAGCAGTGCTGATCATCTCATGCCTTAGCAATCAATGCCAGCGCATCCCTTCATCAATGTAAATGTCACCGTTCCAAAAGCCTTGACCTCTCTGAGATGCAAGAACATCCTCCTGCTGAATGCACTGATACAGGAATGTCTGGGCTTGCTTTCCCTACTTTGTTGGGAAAGGAGTTGTGGCAGTTGTAGAGGATTTAGTCAAGAGTGGGCTCCATTATTAAAGGAAAGCCAGAAAGAATTCACAGGTCAAAGGCCAATTACCTGGCCCCTTTTGTTTGGCAGATGGGTTTGGAGTTAATTCAGATATGAGGCCCAGAGATAACATCGGAAGCTTTGTACCTCGAAACGCAGTCACCATAACTTTCTATGATGCTTTCCTATGTTACCACTTTATGCTAAGTACTCTGGGTACTAGGGGTACAGTAACTTACTTGGATATAAAGAGACAGCATACACATGATCTGAAATACCCCATGTGCTAATCACCACCTTTTCATCATCTGTCCCTCTCATCTCCTGGATGGAGAACTGTCAAAATATCCAACCCACTGATCCTACCCCTGATCCAAGGGCCCATGCTCTTTATTTCTGCATTACCCAGTTTAAACTGCAGGACTGAGCATAATAATCACTCCCTGGTGTCGATTAAAATATTATGTTGCAAGATAAAAATGTTACATAAAGTCCAATAGTCATTTCACTAAGATAAAAGCTCCATGACTTTGTTATTGTTCTGCATACTTTTAACACAGACTAGGTATTTAGTAAATACTCAAATGAATGAGTAATAAGTGGTAAGAAATGTCATAAAAAATACAACAGTGACAAGACTAGAGTACTTGGGGGTAGAGAGTAGTATTTCAGTAGGGTGGTCAGAAAGTTTCAGTAGGGTGATACTACAAAGCAGTATCAAAAAAAGAAAAAACGCACTTGAGGTAAGGAAATGAGTCAAAGCTTAGCAACAACTTCCCCCTTTCCTGATGTTTTAGAAACTGGAATTTATCATGGAAATATTCCTTGACAGTATAGAAATAACGTTTTTCCTATTTCCAGCTCTTCAGATGTAGTAGTACTCCAAATTCAATTTCATAGATGTTTTAAAGTAATGTCTTGTTTAAATATGAGTAAGACTTAACTTTGTGTTACCACCTGAACTAAAGTCTCCCATGGTGCTTACCGAGTTAGGTCTGGCTCTGGCAGAGGAGTGGACAGCAGCTGATTGAGATACATCCCCATCTGGAGACAGCACTGCCACTGACAGAAGATGTGAGCCGTGTCTAAATCCAAGCTCCCGCCTGGGCACGGCGACTCCTTCACCCTCTGGAACTCTTCATACAGCACCTTAGCACCACCTCCCTGCAGATCTTCCTTATCTAGACAAAGAAACAGCCCAAGGGCAGCATTTCCCAAACACAGCATTACCCTACCATTTCTCCACACATAAGACTTGCAATTCCACAAAGAAGAAAATTAGTCTAAGAAACTAATTGTCTTTCTCTTCTGGTTTCATAAGTACCTTGCTGTGTAGGTTGAAATGTTTATAATGAAGTACCTTCTTAATGGTAGCCTGATTTTATGCAACCCCCAAATTTTCATGTTTTCCTTGAAATAAGATCTCCACTGCTACACTACCTGCCGTAAATGTATGCATGTGAATTCTCTAAAATGTGTCTGTGAAACATTAAACAGTCTTCTTTTTACTGCTCTCTGTCACAGAATGCTCCATATTATAGTGCACTTGTTTTAAAGAAACAGCTTGTGTTTATAGTGCAAGAGTAACCTGCCTTAGGAGAGGAAGACTAAAATACAACTCGCAATCTCAGAATCTGACAATCAGCTGCTTTTCCTAGAAGATAAAGGGCAAGAAATCACCACATCTGGAATAACGAATGCCGTGTATGTTCTGCTGTGAATTTCTGCAGGTTTAAGCAGAGACACACAAAATAACACCTGGACCAACTTAAAAGTGATAATAAAAAGGCCCACCTTTCACCAGCTAGCGAGCAGTGAGGCACTGTGCCTGCCTGGGTGCGGACTCCATATTTCCTAAAAGAAAAGAAATAGACCCTTGACGTCCCTTCTGTAGGACTCAGGCACAACTTGATACCTCGTGCCCTGAGAGTCCCTGTACTGAGTACCCTCAGCCTGTGTACGTAGGGCAGGAGTGGGCCCTGTTTCATGATAAGCTTGCTGTCTTTCACCAGCAGTCCCTTTGAAGGCTGCTGTCACATGTAGCCCTTAATACTTAGGGTGCTGTTGAGTCCATGCTATTTTGTTCATTATTCATTCTTTTAAGAAAAGTAAACTACTACAGCACTGAAAAAAAGAAAAACAGTAAATATTCTATAACTGCTATTCAACCCAGTACCCTGTGTCCACATGTAGCAGCTGAGCACTTAAAACATGATTAGTGTGACTGAGAAGCTGAAGTTTTAACTGGATTGTAAACCAAAGTAATGACCTGCAGCTACCAGTTACCATGTACACTGCTGTAGAGCGTGAGAGTTTCATACAGGTTTAGATCACATTACAACACTCACAAAGAGCGGGATGCGTTAAAGGACTAGTGTTCCAACGCTTCAACTACTGATATTTAAATGCAGATGAACTGCCACAATGCATTCCTCTAACAGAAAAGTTTTCTATTACAAGCATCCAAAAATAGTTTTTTAAAAAAGAAACCAAAAAAACAAAACAACAAAAAAAAACAAACCTCCTCCTACAAGCATGAGTAAATTTATTGTGATTGCAGGTAACCAAAAGTTTCATTTCTGGGCAATTTTAAGTAAATTTTTTGTCATGATGCCACTAATGTATGATTGAAGGGGACAGCATGGAATAGAAAAATGCAATTGGCAAGCCACCTTTTCACACCTCGCATACTGAAGTATAGGGGTCAAGAACAGACAGACTCAGGCAGCACCAGGACACCTCACCTGTTTACTTGCAGTCAAGCACTGGCACTGAGTCTGGCACCCAGAAGTGTTAAAATATTTAACAAAGACAGTTTGATGCCTCTGTAATTTCTCATGTAACTGATGAGGGTAAGGTATTTTTATTGGTGTCAACTCTCAAAGATACAGTTTATAAGTGACATGCAAAAACATAGTCCTAAAGCACCTACCAGGACTGTTGATTGTGGCATGCAAGGGGCCCAGCAGCATCCCCAGCAGTAGAGCCTGTAGATGACATAGCTTTGCCTTGGTCTCCGTGTGCTGCAACCAGTAGCAACTGACAGCAGTGGGCAACTTCAAAGCAAGCGGGATTGGGTCCAGGACAGTCTGTTTCACCTTCAGAGTTTCTAACAGAAGCATCTGCCGCCTAACCAAGGAGAGCTGAAAGTACCAGACATCCTGCAAATTACTTTAGGAGCCCTTTCTTTCTTTCTTTTTCTTTTTCTTTTTTTTTTTTTTTGGTAGAATGAAGACATTAGCTGTGCAACTTACCTTTCTCTGGAAAAAAAATCAGCCTCACCCTGTGTTTAGAACATTAATATGATACTTAGAGCCTTGCCATGGTGCAAAATAAATATGCTTGGTCGAAAGTGGGCATGGTTTGCTCCCACTGAATAGCCTGTGTTCTGTGCTTGCATCCTCTCTGTGTTGGCTGGCGAGTATATTAAATATACTTATCACTTGGGAGCTGGTCAGGAATTGAGTCTGAAGGTCCTGTCCCCAAGTCTTGATTTAGTTATCTGAGGGGAACCCAAGTATTGTACTCAAATATTCTACTTGTGCTTGCTAGTATTTAGGCACCCACTTGCTCTGCAGTGCCATCGGAGATCACCCTTAGAAGACAGACTTCCTCTAGGTGCCCCTCTGCTGGATGTCATACACACTGGGTAGATCTTTCCTGCTGAATGTTTTAATGGCTTTGCTTTCTTCTCCACAGGGACTGGGACAGGGTGCTATTAGTCGGTTATAAGCATAGTCAAGGCAGATGGGAACACTTTAAGGAGTACCTGCCCTGTGCTTGCAGTAACTCACCACACAAACATTGCATTCATGCTTTTGAGTGTTCTTCTAGTAAAAGCATAGAAGGAAAGAGCCCAAAAGGACTGAGTTTCTTTACGAAATAATTTTACTTTACTGAATCGCAGGACTTTGAGAACCTTATGGACTTCATAAGTCATGCTCTTTTACACATTCAGACTATTGAAAGAATACCTTCAGGGGAACTTTATCATCAAACTTTAAGAAAATAATATTCCTAGTATTTGACTGCAACCAGAAAAATTTTTTTTCTTCTTTCCAGTACATTTCTTAGCATCTGACAGTCAGCAGGAAGAGTGGTAGACAGCTGAGAATAGAAATGTTAACTTGAAATAAAACACATAATTGATAAAAATTTCATCATCAATGTGTAACAATACTGTGATGAAATTTTAAAAATTAGATACATGCAAAGTGCTTTACAGTGTAACAACTTATTGTTAAGTAGCACTAACTACTTAAAAAATGAATCTCCTAAATATTTTTTTAAAAAGCCCCAGATACATTCTTTTCTGTCATATAACACTTAAATTACTGAATTCTTACTGGGGGCCTGGCCAAGAGTCCCAGTTGCCTGTGTTAAAGGTACAACAAGAGGATAAAGTAAGACACGGACAGATTTCATGACACTTGACAAGTGTCTGTGAAGTTGATATCATCAGATGGGCCAAAAGTGCACCAGCCACTCTTTATTGGGTGTATACAATGATAGATGGAGCTAAAACTCAGAGGTCTATGATTCAGCCTGCAAGCATAATCTTGGGGTAACTCAAGAGGGTGGAGATGATCTTATCCTAAGAAGGATCTTGTCCTGGAGTGTTTCTGAAACTTAAGTGTTCTTAGGTTTAGTCTTTGTGGGTGAGAGAGTATGGCCCATCCCTAAAGATTTAATGGGGAATCTCAAGTGGATGATACCCATGATCCCAAACTCCCATTTTAACCTTTAGGGAAGAATGCAAAACTAGCCATTGTGAATTGGTGTTCCCCACCAAATTCTCAGGTCAACTTACACCTTAAAAAAGAAAATCTAAACATTCACTTCAAAGATATTTTGCTCTCCCCTACCTCAACAGCCAGTGGGCAGGTTTGTAAGCTTCTCTTCAGCCTGTCTGTAAAATGGGCAGTAGAAGAAGTTGCATGATTCCTTTCACTGAACTTGCCAGTCCTGAGTGCCTTCCCGCAGGGGACTGAGTCTGCTTTCAGCCACTAGGGCTGCTGAGAATTTTCTATGCTTGTGGCAACTTCCTTCCCTCAGAGGGAGTGAAAGTCCTGCAAAAGAAGCTGGCACAGAGCAAAAGTGCTCAGGGGAGCCTGGTCCTGGGTACTGTCTCTCACACCCAAATAATCTGGTGTCGCCTGTTGGTAACCTTTGTTAACCTGAGTGGTGTTCTTTCCACTGCAACTAATAACCAAAATGACACGATGCTATGTGACTTCTGTGGGATGTGAAGTTCTATCAAGAGCTGGCACAAAAGCAGATGAAGTATTACTATTTTAAAAACAATAAAACAAATAGCTATGACTACAAGGTTTCTATCCCTTTCTTGTATGGCACCTGCATTTGTGTTTGGAATCCCATTTGCACCTAGTCTTGTTTAGAATGACTGCAGGCTCACTGCAGTCTAAACACTAAGCTAAATCAGAACTGATTCAGAGAGTAAGCATCAAACTGCAACTCCAAGCCCATTTTTTGTTACAAGGGGCCAACACTACAATTAAACCTGAATACTTAGGTTTTAGTTTGGGAAAAGCAACACTACATTAATATCTTTTGTCTTAAAAACACAATAACATGTGTTGTAAGTTCACCATCATTGCATTAGTCCCAAGCCAAGGGAAAGCCAAATGATAGCACAGAGAACTAAAATTTCACTCTGTTTGGAACACAGATAAATGATGAGAACATTGTGTTATCTCCATCTACTAAGGAATATAATCAGCATCCTACGCTTCATTGGTTCACTCAGATTTTCATATGGAGAAGTGTCACAATCTTTTGCATACTATACAATCAATTCTGGATACATTACAGATTTAAATGTGAAAGCCAACAAATCATTTGCATGATCTTGGAATAGGCAATAATTCCTTTAGTAGGTCACAAGGGTGGTAATCATAAATCATAAAAATTTAAATGACTTTAAGAACTGTTCCTTAAACCAGAGTGAAAGAATGAGAGGGTCTATCCACAGCAATGTTAACAAAGGACAGTATACAAAACTCCAGGAAAATGGGCAAAAAATTCAAACACTGATGACACAAATGGCTAATAAATGTATGAAAAGGTGCTCAAGTTAGAATCACAGAAATACATAGTGTGGTAAAATACTACTGTTATTAAGCATGATAAAAATGATCCCTGTGAAGCTGCCTCTGCACTTGAAGCATAAACTATAATGTGGACAGCATGTCTTAGAGCAGGGACTTCAGAAGCTATGTTTATGGAACTGTTGGAAGAAAAACTGGATTCTACAGGGAAACGAGACTGTAAGGCCAATGTCGTTTTTTCCCCATCTATTATTTAACTTAGATATAATTCACATGTCATCAAATTCATTCTTTGAAAATATACAATTCAATGGTGTTCGTATATTTTTACAATTGTGTGGTCACCACTAATTCCAGATCCATTTGATTACTCCCAAACTTGTTCCTATTAGCAGTCATTCCTCAATGCTCCGGAATCTCTTTTCTTTCTGCTTGAGATATCACTAGTGGGAAGGCCAAATAAACAGCCCAGTCTCAGTCATCTGCATGAGCCAGAGACTGGCACGATGGCATTTTGGGTTAGGTCATTGTGGGGGCTGCTCTGTGCATGTTAAAACGTTCTACGGTATCCTTGGCTTCCCCATAAGATGCAACAGCAACTGCCACCTTCCCACTCCCTAGAAGTAAAAATCAAAAATATCCCCAAGCACTGACAAATGTCCCCTTGGGGACAAATGCACTGATGATAGAGAACCATTAGTGCAGACTGAAGCAGAAGGCAGGGAAAACTCCCACAGAAATGTAAGGTCCGACTCACACCCACTGGGAAGTGGTGGCTGCTGCTCCACACCCTTAAGCAGTAAGATTAGTACCAAGAGTAATCTTCGTTTGAGTCTGTGAGTCTGGATATTTAGTTGGATCTAGAAAACCCAATGGTCATTGCAGTTGGTTTTGTCAATTTATCTGCATTTAAATTATAATTATCAGGATAAACATTTTCATATTTTTCATTTTAATATACGTTTATAAATATTTAAAGGAAAAGGACTACTGGAATCCATGAGAACCTTTTTCCCTTGAAATGAGGATTCATCTGAGTGTTACTCAGGTTTGTGCAACAATGACTTAGGTTAAGAATCATGCTTATTAGTATCACACTAAGTTACCATGATGCCACAAACCTAAAGTTAAAAAAAAATTCATTAATTAAAAATACCTTAGATACAAACATTAATTCTAATCTTAATTGAAATCCAACATAGTCTGCAGTGTTAGATATGCCTGTATAAAGTGCCTATATGTACACTTTATTTTTGCAGTTCAGAGGTTTTTCTTTTTCCTTTCATCTCATAATCCTATTCTATTGATTGCTGGTATAAAAAGTGGTAGTAACTACAAAACTATTGAAGTATATTAAAAACAGTAGATTTAGAGCTAAAAGTGATAGGTTTAAGTCAGCACAGACATTGGCAAAAGCAAAATGACCTAGTTCACTTGAGTTTTATGTTCTCATCTATGAAATGAAGACGAAATAGCAACTAACCTAGAGTCGTTAGACTATGAGACAGAATATATGAAAGCACTTTGGAACCTATAAAGTGATTCATAAAAATTTCATTAATATTACAAATCCTCACCTTGGTCAGTTTGCTCAAGTCAGAATAATCCTTGGGCAGTTCTGTTGCATCAACAACTGACGTTTTGATATCTTTATTAATCCTTTCCACTTCGCTGAAAGCTAGAGGCTGAGATGGCAATGCATTCGGGGACATGTTTGCTGGATTCGAAAGAAGTCCATAAATAATCTGCCGGATAGGTTGAGAGATTCTGTGCGCGTTTGGCCGCTGCATGTTTTCTACCTGAGTGTGAAGAATGGTCCGTCTTAACACCAACGCATCGCTGACAAAAGGAGATAGCTGGCCTCTGGCCAAAGCCACCAACACCCATTCCGGTAGAGCCAGCTTCATGGCATCTGGACAGATAAAAGCACCATCCTGGAAGAAGTCCTGCAGCTTCACCTGGGATTGCTGGTATCCCTCCATGGAGCAGCACAGAAGTTCCTTAACATTTTCTCGTTCCTTTTTTGGCAGATGTTTCAGAACATTATCTAGTGCTTCCGTGGGGTCAGCAAAATGAGACAACCAGTTCAGAATTCCCAGAACTCGGTGATGTCTCCTTCCCTTAGAACTAGTACCTCTCACAGGAAGGCATACTTTACTTAAGACTGTCTCCACAATAGGCAGGTTAATATGATCATTGCCACACAGCACTGCAAAGAGAGGTAGCAGAGCCTTGTTCATGTTGCTGAAGTGATGGCAGAAGGCATCAAGAGAGAAGCATTTGGCAGGAATATAGTAGTTTTTTGTGCCCTTAATAGTGTTCAAATTTCTCCACTGAAAGCTATTCAATGGGCAAAACCCAGTTTTCAAATCGAAAATGCAAAAGTCACTATCAGACGATAAGACGGGGCAATTCCAATGGTTGGCAAGTGTCATAATGTCCTGATCTGCTTCTGAAAAGCACTGGACAAAACATACCTGCAGTTTGATCAAAATCTGTATGAACACTTCCCGGATGAGTAAAGGACACACATACCCGCCCCCTCCAACAGAAAGGGAATGGGCCATCTGGATCTTCTCTCTAGCTCGATCCTTTAAAGTTGTAAGCTTTTTGTCAGAAATGTCACACCCTCCATCTAGTACAACATATGGACATATATTACAAGAAAACAGTGACTCAAAGAATTTTTGTACAACTTCTGCAAAAGAATCATAGTCTCCTCCATAACGGAGCTCCAAGTTTGAATTGAAGCAAAGTCGGTGGAAAAGGGCATAGCCATCTATGACAATTTTTGTATCCCGCAACTTCAAATCAATGAAGAACTCATTATTATGATCTTCCACAAAACTCATTAGTCCTCGGATACCCATGACAGACGAAGAACAGCCTGTTTAAAATAACAGAACACATTTTACTAAACACTGTTACTAAATCCTGTCTTTATTTTAAAAATCGTGACATTTTGTCAACAATGGCTTTTTGCATTTTAATTTCTTTTTCTTCTTCTTTTTTGTGGTACCAGGGATCGAACTTAGGACCTTGCACTAGCTAGACAGGCACTTATGACACTGAGCTATATCCCTGGCTCTGCATTTTAATTTTTTGAGACTCACCTCCCCCAAGTTCCAGCCCTGCCATTTCTTGGCCGGCCGTATCTTGACCTGTACAGTGCTGATTTATTTACAAGTTTGTTATGTAAAACTACTGGGAACACAGACCGCGATGACTCTTCCTATACCAATTACGGGATCGCACAGAGCAACGAATGCGAGCTGGACAGATTACAGGCTTGCCAAAACTCTGCTCTTAATCCTGGAATTCGGGCCGCAGAGACCGCGCCACGCCGACCCTCACAGTGGTCGCCTCGATCGGCAGCACACCCCACCTACTGGGTCTTCTCAGAACCCAACCACTCCATCCAGATATGTGCAACAACCCAGCACGTGAGCACTGACCCTAGGGCGGGAGCCGGAAGTCACCCGGTCTGACGTCACCTGGAAGCCGGGTTCAGCGACGCCCCGGGGGCTGCCGACTCTGCAGGGACAGGGTGCTCGCGGGATTGCTGGTAGGAAACTGCTAAAGAATACTGAGACTTGTGTTCCGGAGCGGCTTTCGTCTCTTTAAGGAAGCTGTGTTCGTCCGGCCCGCCTCTCTTTACCCGGCCTACGTGGGTCCAGAGACTTCCGCCTGACTTCCGCAGGACCGCCTCACCCCGACTTCCCACAATGCCCCGTGCCGTTTCCTTGGCGACAGAACCAAACAATGTAGGCCCAAGCTGTTAGGAGCTGGGCGGTGCCACAGCCGGTAGATTGAGGCTCGCAGGGTATCCCCGCTGTGAGTCGCGCCTGGCCAGCGACGCCAGGCCTCCACCTGCAGTGGGGAAAGGTAATTCGCACGGCTTTCCTCAGATTGTGCGGACTCCCCAGTCGCGGGGAAGGTAGTGGTTTCCAGCCACCTCGGCCGGGGTCCTCACTTCTGGGTCTCCGGCTCTCGTCCTCCTCACGTCCTTGGACAATGTGTCTGGTGCCCTTGATGTATGTTAACCTGTTTTTCGAAAATGTCAATTGTTTGGAAAGTTGAATAGAAAAAGAAATTGTTCGCTTTGCCTTGAGGTTAAGGTTTACCTTTAAGATTAGATTCGAACCTGTGGTGACATCGGCTTCATCTCGTGTATCACTGCCAAAAAGACCTTCGGGTTTTGTTTTTTTTTTTTTTTTTTTTTTTTTTTAATTGGTACGAGGGATTGAACTCAGGACTGCTTTTATGCCACTGAGCTAAATCCCCAGCCCTGACCCTCAGTTTTTAACTTAGATAAACTTTCTCTTTTGCCCCAGTGAGATTGGGTTCAATTCCTTGTATACTGGGAATTTCTCCCCACACCCCATCTAAATCCCCATCCAGCTTTCTTAACTTCCCCATTTTTTTCTCCTTGGGCAGCACTTGGACACTGCTTGATCTCACAATGTTTACTGAACACCTGGTAGGTGCCAGACGTTGTGCCAGGCACTGGGGGTACACAGGTAAAGAGTAGTGGTATTGCCCACTCTCTGATTCATTTATCACCCTTAACAGATACCAAGGTGACTCTAGAGTCTTGACAGCCGGTACATTCTGCACAAAGAACACTAATGGAAGGGAAGGGACAGCCTACAGAGTAGGCTGGGAAGCTGGTGGCAGGAACCAGGTCCCAAAGTATTCTGCAGATTGGCAGACAGTGCTGGTTTTAAACACGTTGTTATAACCAGAGCCTCTGCATTTGGACTTAAAATAACTATTCTGTGCTTCTGCAATTCTGTCCTTCATTGAACAAAATAGTTAATCCCCTCTTCAAAGTAGAGAATTACTAAATGACCTTTTCATTTCAAGAGACTTTGAGTCCATTTCCTCAAACAGCTTAATTTGGCCAGAAAGCATCATTTTTATGCTAGGGAAACAAGCAAACCAAGAAACCTGTCCTCTAGCTTTGCTTTTTAATTGTTTTTTATTTTAATTTTTGTTTCATTTATGTGCTGTTTTGGGGAAATTTGTGGTAATTTTGTGATTGATTGCCCTGACAGTTTTCATGGATGAAAGATACTGCCATATAAAGCCCTTTGACCATTACTGTAAACAATAGCTTTAGGTCTTACTGCTCTGGAATTGCTAAATGTGAAAACTTAATTCTAAACCATAGTCTTCAATTTAAATTCATATTTTCATATAGATTTGAAACATTTTTCATGACTACTGGTGAAATAGTTAACATTTTGGTGAACTAGAAATGATTTTACTGTGTAAATCCTCATATGAAATAACCCTATTTTTCATAACTCTTACATGCATTTCATAGCTTCTGGAGAAAGTGTGGTTTTATTCATCACACATTTATATCGGGCTGACATTAAAATACAATTTTAGGCTTGAATTGCATTTGTGTTACTTCCACTTGAGGGATATTACTCTGTATCCAGGGAGTATAATAAAAATTTCATAAAGTAGGTCAGCATTTGCTTCGGATGGAAAAATATTTGCTCTGAGTCCTTATCCCTCTTTACAACTAATCTGATAAATGCAGAAATTGTGATTTAAAGTCTACAGGAGGTCCTTAGGCCATGAGCTGCATCCCTGAAGGGGATTATATTATTGCACCTTTTTTCCTTCATTCTAGATCATGAGGTCTCTGCCATATGCTCCTCACCATGATATGTTGCCACTACACAGGTCCAGAAACAACCAGAAGAGACCTGGATCATGCTAAATTCTGGTTTAACCCTAACACAATGTGAATCAAAGCAAGCATAAACCAAACATCTAATTCTCCTGAAGGATTTTGCAAGTGCACAGATCTAAGGATATGATAATGGTCTCATATTTGGATTTTTCTTAAATTGATGGGGTATATAAGTTTTAAATACATTATTGATTATGAAACAGATATACATCCCAAAAGTTTGTGGAAATCTGACTGTATATCAGTTTTAACAAATGTGCATGAATAACAGAAGGCTATCTTCATATAAAAGTCTGATTCTGAAATTTTTAGTATTTCTACCATTTCCCCCTTGTTCAAGTCATTAAAGCTAAGCAGTATGATATCAGTCTTCTAATTTAGGTGCAGGTCTCACTGTCAAATATTTAAACCTTTTGTTAGGAATCTTTTAACATCAATTAGAATTAACCTGTGGACTTTTCATGTTTTAGGCATTGACCAATACTTCTTGGATAAATTTGACCATGGCTACTTGAATATCAGGTTTCCATACATGAATAGACCAGTTCAGTCCCTGTTGGAGCAATGCTGAAATTCCGAGAGGCTCCTAAGTGTGAGAGTGGATCAATAGCCATTTCCACTTCTCCACGGACCTTGATTGCAAGAAGATATGTGCTTCAGCAGAAACTTGGCAGTGGAAGTTTTGGAACTGTTTATCTGGTTTCAGATAAGAAAGCCAGACAAGGAGAGGAATTGTAAGTAAAAATACTTTGTAAAATCTTGAGTTGGCTGCCATGTATATACAGCTCTTAGCAGAGTAAGAACACAGTCGTGTATTCCTTATTCTTTCCATTCAAGTGAGAAGTTAGTGAAAATAGAAAAGTTCTTTCCTTGATCTCTTCAGGTAGCTTGGGGATTGAACCCCAGGCCTCATATATTCCAAGCAGTTTATGCCCAGCACAATTTAAATTACAGCACACTGCTGCCACTTTTGTTTAGTGGAAATTCTTCCATGAGAAATGAGTTGTTTAGAATGGCTACATTTTTAGAAATGTTATGAAATGCAAATAGGAGGGGGAGGAGGAGGAGGAGGAAGAATTGGACACAGACACCAGAGATGTATGTGCATACAGAAGAAAGGACACATCTACAAGAAGGCAGTCATCCACTGCAAGAAGACCATCTACAAGATGAGGAGAGAAACTTCAGGAGAAACCAAACCTGCCAATCCTTAATTGCAGACTTTGAGGAAATAAATGAGGAAACAGTAAGGAAATAAACTTCTGTTGTTTAAAAAAATATCGATTGGATCCTATAAACTCTCAGTATAGATAAAAAGTCTTAATTTTTAGATAGTACAGTTTTTACAAATAAGGATAAACATTCACTTTTAGCATAACATTTAAAAAATTTTTGCAGTGAAAAGTTAGTTACAACTGAATTTATGATGAAAAATTGTCAGAAACAGGAATAATAGAAGACAAAAGGAAAAATGACTCAAGAATCAGCTCTGAGCCCCTGAAAGGCCAAATTTTCATCTTATGTTCCATTCTTTTGTTGAGCAGCTCTTAGATTTTCTAAGTTTTTTTTTACATTTTCTTTTGTTATACTGTAAGTGTGGATTTAAAACCTATGTGATAAACATTTTCTACTTCTTATGTGATAGGAATTAAAAGATAAGTATTCCTGATGCTACTGTTTTGAAAACCTTGTAAGTGTCACTGTGACCAGAATTTTTAAGTGGTAATCATCTGGAACTTATAAATTTTAATAAATTCCTACCTGTTGAATGGTGAAAGACCTGGCACTATTCCGATATTCATAGAATATACATTATGACTCCTATTGTAAAGGAGTTTTCCCTGGCAGTCCTTGAGATGTTCTTACCATGTAGAGCAAGATGATAAATGTCTGACAATTAATTGGGAATCTTTTAAGACCTGGCTATGACGCAGGAGTTGTGAGAACTCCACTGTAGGATCATCTTCAGCTTGGGTTTCTTCAACTAATGAGGAGTCTGAAGGGCTTTAGGGGAGTTCACAGAAGGACCAAAAAGATGATTTAGAAGTTTCTATTATATATGTATTGAATTTGAAAGCTTCAGGTATGAGATGGGTGAGGGTAGAATGGGGTGCACCTGCCTGCAGATGGGTGGGGCAGGGGCAGGTCAAGGGAAGGAGAGCTGGAGGGGTGGAGAAAAATAGGAAAGGGCGGCTAAGTGATTTGAAAGTGACCTTTCCTGCCTCCGAACTAATCTTAAAACTTATGACTCGAGCTGAGGGTGGTGGGCAAATCCTAGTTAATTTTGTGAGACGAATGCAGTAGAGAGAACAATACCCAAATCTCTTGGTACCAGAAGATACAGTCTACAATATCTGGGGAAGGGATCATTCATTATTGGAATCTCTTAAAACATAATACATACGGGCCATGTTCAGCTTTCTGATGTGTTTTACTTTTCCTACATGGTGTTTCTCTTTAAATCTAAATTAAATTAGTTGCCAATATTTTTAAATGGGCAGCTCTCAAAAATTCAATGTTTGATCTCTGCTAGAAAAGAAAGATGGATAACATTTGCCCACTTCAGTGCCTGTGTAGTCACAGAGAGCTGGGGTAGAGTGATGGCCACTCCTTGTAGACAAAGTCTGTGTTCTTCACTTAGCCACGTTTTTGCCTCTTCGTGCCCCTTATACCCAATCACATCACACCTTTCTACTGTCTGCTAAGCTTTGAAGACATTTACTTTTGGAACCTTTGCTAAAACCAGGAATGGATGGCTATAACTGCCCACTAAATCCTGCAATGCTAGAAGGAGGGAAGGACAGTGTCAGCATTATGCACATAGTTTTGGAGGCAAACAAGTCCTGTAAATCCAGATCTAATCTTTTTATCCTGTAGAGTTCAACAAATACTTAAAAAAATTTAGTAATACACGTTGCAGTACAAGACCTATTCTTAACCTTGATGTTAAGGTTTTATAGCTTCCTAATCTGAGCATTAGTGTTCTCTGTAAACACTTCAGAGAATTGTAAAAGTGATTAAATATCTGCCTTTTCATATAAAATAGATGTTACATTGGCTTAAACTTAATTTTCACTCAGTGACAGCCAAGATTCATCTTAATTACTAATAATCTAAGTCAATGCAGTAATTAAAGAGATGCCCAGTAAAATTTTAGCTAATCACCCTCCAATGACTGCAGGTGGAACCCTCTACTGAACAAATTTTTCTTTTGCATTTCTACATGTATGTTTGTATGTGTTCAGACAGGGACTGTGTCATCCAGGCGGGGCTCAAACACACTGCATAGCCCAGGTTGCCCTCAAATTCTTAATACTTCTGCCTCAGCTTTCCAAGTCCTAGGGTTAGAGGCATGACCCACCATGCCTTACTTGCATTTTGCTTTTATGCCTACATTGTTTGATTAATTTTTCATGCTTATATCTTGTAATATTCAACTACTTTGAAGATAATACACAATGTGCTAACCATTGTTACTCTCCTACTATCTTGTTTTGAAATTTTATATCATCGTTTTTATTGTTGTTTCTCTTAAAATAAAAAGAAGAGAAAACATCTCACAAAGTAACCTGATTATTAGGCATGTGGCTTTTTTTTTTTTTTTTTGTCTTTTTTCATTTTTATCGGTACTGGGGATCGAACTCACGACCGCCTGCTTGCAAGGCAGGTGCTTATGCCGCTGAGCTAAATCCCCAGCCCAGGCATGTGGCTTAAAAACTTTCCAAGGATATTTCTTGAAATTGTAACAATTTTTTTGTTGTGTATTCTATTAAATCTCTGTGACTGACCAAAAGAAATTCCAGAATGTGAACGAGAATTGAGAGTGTGATCCTTTTGGCTGTGTAAGATACCAACTCATTAGCAGTTGTTATGCTTGCTGCTTGTGCAGAGGCAGGAAACAGAACTATTACTTTTTAGCCCTCTCCCCAAACACCGCGGATTGATGCTTGAACCTGCAGTGTAGGAGCATTGCACATTGTTAGCACCACTTACTGAGCAATTTGGTTAGTTTTAAATTCCACTTTCATATCACAAAGACAGGGAATTAGAGGTGGCCAAAAGATTGCTACTTGCTGAAAGATTTCTATGATGCCGTCTGCTTCTTTAGTACATCAGAGTAGTACATCTGACAGCCTTCATTGTTTTGGAGATAAACCCCTACCTTTTGAGCTAGTAAGGAAGCTGTGTGATTATGATACCTTTACATGTCAGACTATCCCTTGCTGTCAGTGTTAAAGGAGTTGGAGTATACAGCGAGTCCGAGCTGAGCTGTAGGACACTTACTGCCAGCTCCTACAAAATATAGGTTCATACAACACATGGTTCTAGTTTAAACAGCTCACCAAAACAGGAACAGCTATATGCTTTTTGCATGGTGCTTCTAAGGCTTGTAGTTTCTCATTCTACCACTTGGGGGCACTAGTCTATCGTTGACATTTCTGTGTGGCCTGTAATTACAGTGCAAATAATGCATTCCTTGAAATTTTTATTGATTTCTGAATTAGGTATTGGAGAGAAATAAAAGCTACAGACCTTACACCTGATTAGTACAGTACATGCTTAATGAGCGCTGTCATTTGGTGTAAATATCCAATATACCTTTTTTTTAGTTTTGTCAGTAAAATAAAATTAGTGTTAAATTGAATAGGGAATGAAATAGAGCATTTCCTTTATCAAATCATGCATCATAAAATTTATAAAAGTTTTGGGAATATTTTTATTCCATAATTGTAGGTACTCTGACTTCATGGGTGTAATTTATGTTGTCATATTCCTAAAAAGATTGTTCTGGTTCATAATTTAATTTTTTATTTTGTTAGGCTGTCAGAATATTTTCTTTTCAGCAAACCCAGATGATTTTTCACTGATACCCACGAGTTGTACATATTCAGGTGGTAATAAGTGATGTTTTGATGTATGCATCCCTTGTATTATGTTCAAAATTATTGCTTAAAAATCAGTTCTAATTTGTGAAATATACAGTACATTATCATTATCTGTAGTCATTATAATGTAAAGTAGAACACCAGAATTTTTTCTTTTATTTAACTGTTACTTAGCACCTGCTAACCTACCATTCCCATGTTCCCTGCAGCTTCTGTTAACCACTACCCTCCTCTCATTTTTTTACTTTTATGGGGTCCACTTGTTTAGATTCCACCTATGAGTGACGTCATACGGTGTTTACCTTTCTGTCCTAGCTTATTTCACTTACTGTAATGCCTGCCAGCTCCATACGTGTTGTGTTAGTCCCTTCTATGGCTGTATTCGTCAATGCTAGCTAGAGGCAGGTGCAGGAGAACGCGGATGTCTGCCTGCCTGCCGAGACCTGCAGGATCCAGTCAGGGCTTGGAGCCCTCGGCAATGCCCCGTGCAAATCCTCACCAAGGATCTACATTGGAAAGGCCCAAGGGCCAGTCGGGGAAGCTCAGAAGTCTGTGCTGGCTGAGTGAGGAATCTGCCAGCAGGCTGAGGTCAGCACCAGAAGCCAGGAGTCAAGTTTAAAATAAAGACGAGGATTAAAGCTCTTCTGAAGGAAGAGGACATCCAAAACACCTTTGAAGAAAAGCTACCAGAAAGCAGCTCCTTCAGGAAAATCAGCTGCATGGCACCTTCCCCTCCTGTTCTCTTTTTACACCATTCCAGCAGCAACATCAGGTGGACCTTCCATGCCGGAACCCAGCTGACTCAGTTCCTGCTCAAGGTGACCACATTAATCCACCACAGTGGCCAGATAACAGTGCACTCTGCATATGCACCACACTTTCTCTGCCTGTTCATCAGTGGATGATTACATTTGTTGGCTATTGTGAATCATGCTGAAAAATCATGGGAGCGCAGGCATCTCCTTGACAGAATGGTTTGCTTTCTTCTGGATGCATGCTCAGTGGTGGGATGGCTGGATTGCATAGTAGTTCTGTTTTTCTTTCTGAGGAGCTTCTGTACACTTTCCCATAAGTTTGTACTAATTTGCACTCCCTTCCCACCCACAGTGTGTGAGCTTTCCTGTTCCCCTGCATTTGCACCAGCACCTTTATCTTTATTCCCTGGATGATAGCCTTTCCAACTGGAGTGAGATGATGCCTCACTGTGGTCTTAATCTACATTTCTCTGAGGACTAATGTAAATATTTTTTATGTATCTGTTGGCTATTTGCGTGTCTTCTTCTGAGAAATATCTCTGTAGATTTATTGCCCATTTTAAAGTCAGATTATGTGTTTTATTATTTTTTCTAGTAAGCTGTTTAAGTTTCTCATGTATTCAAAAGATTAACCCCCTATCAGAAGTATGGGTAAGCCTAGATTTTTTTGCATATAAATTTAATAGAAAGGCGATGTTAAGGAGGTAGGCTTACCCTAAAAAATACATCCTATCAGCCTTGAATGATTTTTTTCAGGTTATAATGATTTCTTTTTAAAATCTTCATCATACTTAAGATATAGTGATCTTATTTTGTGAAGTTGATTTTCTGCTATAGTCTGTTTTAGTCTGTCACTTAAGTATTCAGTGCAATTTAAATTTTAAACCTTTGCTCTGAACTCCACACCAAATAGGAGGTAAGGCCGGGCTGCCAGGAGCCTTCAGTCTGTACAAGAGATGGAATTAACATACATCAAACAACTACAGATGGCACACAACAATGCTTAAGTATCTGGTGGTGGCTTGTTCTTTGAAATATTGGAATAGCCTCTGTCCTGCTCCCTTTCTGACTAAATGTGATAATTATCTAACAAATTTCTGTGTATTATCTAAGCGCTTTAATCCTCCCCCCACTGTCTTGTGATGTAAATACCCAGATATTTCCCTATTAATTGGCATCATACACCTTGGCCTTTGCTTTAACTATAATGAACCTGGTAACACAGAAATGCTTTAATTCAACCGAGGGCATTTCTGTCCAGTCTTACAAGTCTGCAACATGAGATGAGGAACAGGAGTAAAATAGGAAAGACCTCTAGTCCTTAAGGAAATATCCCCAAGTCCTTGAATTCTTGGGTTTTTATTAGGTAGATCTTCAAAAGTCCTGACAAGCTGATTTCTCACTCACCTTGGAAACAAAATGGAGATCAGCCACGAGGTGATGCTAAAAAGGACTACCCTAACCATAGGGTAGGTTTGGCCCTTAACAGTGAGGGTGTTGGGAAGTCATGAAAGGCAATGAAAAAGCAAGAACAAAAAAAACCTCGCAAGTTTTGGGTGCGAGTATGTTATTGTAAAGTGAAATAGCTCTCCAGAGTACAGGCTTTCCTGAAGGCACTTCACACTTGTATCCCGAATCCAAGGTATGGAATTGAGATAGAATCGCCATGTGCCATGGAATTTGAGGGGGCCAGCGGCTTTGAAAGATCACCATCTTTTCAGTCGCCACACTGGGTGCACACCTCAGCTTTTCATTTTAATGTATCCAGAAGTGGTGGTCTAGGTGAGACACTCATACTAACTCAGTCAACTCAAAATAGATCTTGAAGCATAATGTTTATTACGTACTAAGGATGAACTCAGAGCCTTCACACTGAATTACTCTTTTTAAATTCTAAATTTTGAGACAGAATCTTGCTAAGTTGCTAAATTTCCCAGGCTGAATTTGTGATCTTCCTGACTCGGCCTCCCAGGGTACTGGGATTACGGGCATTTCCCACCATTTGTGTTTCATAACATTCTTAGTTAAAGACCTAGAGTGAACAGTATTTCTTGATTTTTTTCTTGTGGAAATTTCTGGAGGAGTGAACAATCCAAAGTAAAAATGTCCCCCAAAGGAAGCAACTGGATGGTTACTCCCAAAAGCCAGAGAAGGGGTCTCATCCTCATGATTAAAGGTAATTCCCAAGGGACCATTTTTAAAAGAACCCTGTGTCTCTGCTTACTAAAACTTCTAGATGCACTCACCTGTGCTTATCTTAGGGTACTTCCTTTCCCAATATTGAAAGTAATATATATCTATACATTTTATAAAAAGTACAGGTATGCATAAAGAAGCAAGCAAATAATCTCTAATTCTACCATCCAAGTTTGGTTTTTTTCTCCGTGTGTTGACAAACTGTTAGTCTTATGGGAAAGCATGTGGCATTCATTGGTTAAAGTGACTGCTTCAGAGATGTGGAATGCAGAGGAAAACAGACTTACTTTGCAATAGACCCTTTTTGTACATTTGAAAGTTTATACCGTGTTCAAGATCGGGAAGAAACAAAGCTACTTCCCACCCCACAAACTAAAAAACAAAAACAACCCCGGCCCCATTTAACAAATATTGGCCACTCTTAGTCACTCCAAACTCTTCAAGGAGGTTATTGGGTCTGGTGTGTGGGCTCAATGGCAGAATCACAACACAGAACTTAGAAAATTGCAGATGCTTGAGCCGGATGCCAGGGGAGTCTGTTGGGCTTGGGTGTGGCCTGAGCAGCTGGGATTTGGGGAGCTTCGTGGCCAGTTGATTGCGCAGCCAAGCTTGAGAATATTTGGTCTGGTAAAAGACAAAAACGCACATTTTATAGTCATGGGAAGCAGTAATTGTAAGTTGCAGTGACTGCTACTGCGGGGCAGGTCCTGGCTGCTGTCATACACAGCAGGCACAGCTGAGCTGGGAGGATGGGTGAGAGGAGGAGACACAGCTGCCTTGAGAAGCACTGGCTGCTTCCGCTGCAGCCTGACCGTGGTTAAGACACAGCTGGAACTTTCACATTGTGTTGGGTGTAAGATTGTCTGGGGGACTTGTGAAAACACAGATTGCTGGAATCTCCTCCCCTCATCCCTCCAAAGATTTTGGTTGGACATTACTGTGGGCAGGGCCTGAGAATCTGCATTTCTAACAACTGTCCATGTTTGCTCGAGGGTGGGTATGGTAGAACTGTTCTATTCTGTGTCTACATAATTTTAAAGGACTAAAATATAAATATCTTCTCACTTTATTAAAAACTGTGCTTTAATATCATTTGGTTCTTTCCTGGTGGATATCTAGGTTCTGATACCTTCTTTAGGTAGAAGTAAAATACTATTAATTATGCCTTTAGTGTCTTCAGAGTCTTGATATAATGATTATTATAAAAGAGAAATCTCCTTCTTTCCTTCCTTCCTTCTTTTTCATTTGTGGCTTTGAGTTATAACTCAGAGCCCATCTTTACACAATTGAGTTACTGATCTCATGGCTTTTGTTTTAATATTGTACTTCTTCAACCCAGTCATCACAGCATATCAGCTCGTTGTTTCTGTCAGCAGCACAACTCAGGAGCACTAACAAAGACCCCTGCTTCAGTCACCAAATAGTAACAAACATTCTATGTCATTCAAATGAAGTATTTTGGGTCAGTTATAGATTATGGCCACATTTGCTGAGAGGCTCATTTGTAATTAGAAAAAAAGGACTTTATCCCTTTTTGAATTTATTTCAAACCCATTGAGGAATCAGTTTTCTTATCCAGTCTTTATATGTATAAATTTTGAATTTTATAAAAGAATGTTATTTCTTTTAAGAGGATTAATCAGGTGAGCCTAGTGTCCTAAAAAATAATTAAAAATAAGTAATAGTTCTCATAGAAGGCATGGTTTTTATATTAGAAGTAAATTTTAATAACTCAATTGGGGCAGTAATTTGTGCTATTTAATAGCTGATAACTTTTAGCAAAGCTAGTGCTTATATAGTACCCCTACTAATACTTATTTCTGGATTTTTTTGTTTGATTTACTTAATCATTTTAACATATCTTCACTAGTTTTGAGTCATTCTAAACAAAACATCAGTAGATTTAATGAGTTCAACTTTGAGCTTATGCAATGTATTCTTATTAAAGCTATTATTTCTCCATTATGTCCAGGATTTCTCTCCAGTGGGTATTTGTAAAAGAAGACAAGGTTATTGAGTAGGCTGAGTTAATTTAATAGGATTCAGTGGTTTATGCAGTACAGAGTTAATGAAAGCAATTTGTAGGAAACTAAATGATCACTTTCCATTTTCCCCTGCCTGATTTTAAAACACTTTTCTTCAGTTTTATAATATATTGATCACTTTTAAAGAAACATTTATCAATCTTACCTTCAAGAGAAATTGTAATAAGTTTTGAAGTCAGTAACATTAAAGGAATAGTTTGGGCCTGGAAGATCTTTTGTGCAGGCTCCCATAGATAAATTTAGAAAAAGTAAATTTTCACTCGGGCTTTCCCATCTGTCTGCCTGCAATAAGGTGAAGCCTCTGAGGTTTTGGAGCTCTTACAGCATTTAAGGTCAGAGATCTGGAAAGTGAGATGAAAATGTAAAGGCTAACAGTTATTTTGACTTACTTCAGTCATGGTAATGAAACCAGCATTCTGAAGTAAAGCATTTTCTTGAGTCCACATTGCTTCATGTATTAGCATAAAAACGAACCATGTGCTTTTGCCTCTTAGTTTTTAATATTTACAGAGGAGATGGCAAAAAAATATTTTTAGTAAGAATAAGATGCAGAGAAACTCAGTTTCTTTTTGGTTTTGGCAGGAGGCCAAAAGTATCTTTGTTAATGAACAAGGAGAATTTAGGAAGACAACATTCAAAAATCCTTCCTGAAAAAAATTATTTTTTTTCACATTACTGGTATGAGTTAAAAGTGATTTGTTTTAAGTACTACAGATATGTTAATGTTGCCTTTTAAAGAGTATATTCAAAATATTGTGTGATACAATAAAACCATGGATTGTAACTTGATCTGAAAGTATTCCACAAGACAAGCACCTATTTCTAATAAATTTTAACTTTATAAATGAGTGACATCTTGCAATATGAGTACACGACACTGAATGTCACATGATCACAACTGAGCCAATGGTTCTTTTTCTTCCTGTGGGATTGTGGGTGATCATCTTCCAACAACAAGAGGTTATGGAGACAGTCTCACCCATAGAGGAGATACAAAAGGTGAAGCTGAAGGAATCCCTCGCTTCAAAAGAGATTAGGGAGATGTGTAAAATGTGGGAAGCAGTGCAGAATTTTGCAAAAAGATAACACCGAATAAGGCTGGAGCAGTGTTTGTAATGAATCTGTTTAATGATAATGTGATGTCGCATTTCTACCAAATCCTCAAAAGGAGAGAAAAGCAACATTTCACTGGATATACAGGTTCCTTGTTAAAGTCAAATGGAAAGAAAAAGAAGTCTGTTAAGCCAATAGATAGCATTGATTCATTAGTGATAGATAAAGCTGTCCTCCTCAATAATCCTTTCTTGACTCCCTCATACCAGCCATGAAGCTCTCAAAGATTAGTGCTGGATAATTTATTTTCCTTATATTTTGTTTTTCTGTAGTATTTTATATTATATTACAATATTGTAATCATTTCTATATGAATATTTTTGAGCTGTGGAACAAATCATCTGATTTCCATTATTCTTGAGGGGGAAATTTGCTTTGCTATACAAGGGTTTTGAATTATAAATATGTTTCCAGGACAAATTATGCTCTCAAACCAAGGCTTTGTTGTGTTTAGATTTTCAGACTGGCTGTCTTAGTTACTTTCTCATTGTTTTGGCAAAATTTCCAATACCTGCAGCTTAAAGGAGGAGGGTTTCATTTGGGTTCATGGGTTTTAAGAGGTCTCAGTCCATAGGAAAGGTGGGTGCACATCATGGGGGCCAGGAAGGAGAGAGAAGGGAGAATTCTGGGAGAGAAAGACACTTCCAGGTGACACCCCCTGTGACCCACCTCTTCTGACCTGGCACCTCCTAACAGCCTATTCAAACTACAGAACTCACTGGTGAATGAATCCACTGATGAATTCCAGCAACCTTCCAAAAGACTACACTTCTGAGTGCATGAGAATTTTGGAGAGAGCATTCTAGAGCTAAATCATAACACTGGCTAAATTCCTTATGTCATTTCCCTCTAGTGTATTTTGTTGATTTCTAAATATGGAAGCTAATGGCTTTGCCAAAACTGAGTAACAATCCCCCCCCCCACTAGAAAGTTGGGGCATTGTTCTTTATGTAAATGTATGAGATTGAGGAATATCTGAATTATTTTTAATGAATAATAAAAAGTTCTTGGACATGCTGGTCCCTTTACATTGTCATTGTTGATTACCCCAAATTTTGGAAAATGTAAGATTGTGTAAGGTTTCTTATTTTAAACTTATTTTAAACTTAATTGCCTTAAGTTTTCAATTAATAAAACAAAGTGTTTTAGGGTGAACGAAAGGTATGCAAGAGTTAAATTTAATGAGTATAGTGTAGTTCAAATTTTATTTTTCCCCCTTCACTGAAAAATGACTTTTATAAGGACATGTATATACAATTGATGTACAAATACTAGACCAATTTTTAATAGGGTTCAGAAGAACCTCAGTAACCAAATGTAGGATCTTTAGTGGTTGGTGAATATCAGAATATTCAATCAGAATATCAAATGACTTTGATTTCCCCTCTGCAAAATAAGCATCATACCTTCAAGCACAATCTGTAAGTGGTCTTTCTCACTACTAGTTCTATTGCAGCAGGCTTTTGGGGAGAATTTTCCTTCTAGCACTTTTGGTGTGTCCAACAGCCCAACACAAAGCCAGAAATTTCCCTTTCCCATCCCTTATGCAAATAATTCTAAAAGTAGCTTGGATACTCATTAATTTTTCATTGCATTAGTAATTTCATATAGTATTAAGAATAAAGAATAAGCAGTTAATGTTATGAGACCTTTCTTGTTTTAAAATACTGTGGAATTTAATTTCGCTTCCTAGTTTAACAAGAATGTATTTTGTATTTCTCAGCTGCTTTCCTATTATTTAGTGCTTATAGGTATACATGAATAATTTTAAAGCTTCGGCACGCTTTAGAACATGGTTATTAGTAGAGCAGTGTTCTATTTGGGTAGTTAGGGGAAAATGCACCTGACATTTTAGTTACTAAGAAAACAAACACTAGACATGAGGAAACTGTTGGGAATGATGGATGCGCTCATTATGATTATGGTGATGGGTCATAGGATGTACATAGGTCAAAATTTTAAAAAATCATATATTTAAAATATATGCAATATGTCATTATGTCAAATATAGAGTGTTAGTTATGACCTTAATAGTTGCGAGGGGCCAGGGATTTAGCTCAGTGGCATGAGTGCCTGCCTGGCAAGCACAGGGTCATGAGTTTGATCCCCCCTCAAAAAAATCCAATAATTATACTTAGAAAATGCTGACCCTGGGCCATGAAAACTAAAACCTTTAAGAATATTAAACCTCTTGAATTTGCAGTTGCTAGTGATGATCATATTTAAGCTGGATTTTGATTTTTAATCTATGGGTTCATATCAGTTGCCTTACTGTTTTATTAGAAAAAAATTGTAAGATTTATTTTCATTGGGCGTTTTTGGGCAAGTGAAAAGGAATGGCAAACTGTAGTTGGTACTCTTGTCATCCATGCTAGGTTTCCAAATTTCTAGAGTGGGAAATTTGTAGTATTGAGTCTGATTAGAATATATTTGACTATCAGTCTTCTCAGCCTCTCTCACATGCAGCAGTCACTAAGCATTTTAAGTGAAGTTTGGTCACTGTTTCCAGTTTCTCATTAGTTTGAATTTAGAGGAGCCCTTCTAACTGTTAGTTGGCTGCATTGGCCTCCCCAGATTTGTGGGCCTCCTGCCCTGGGTTGCCTTTTTCCTGTCACCCTGTCTTCCATCTCATGGGCCTCATATGAATGCAGATGTGGTGGGTTTCAGGGTAAGACCATGCAGTCTGTATTTTATAATATTAAATTTGCTATTTGGCATTCAACCATTTTTTAATTCATGTTAGTTTTTCAACAATATTTCATGCAATAATCAGTAATCATGTAATGATTTAAAAATGATTCAGTATTTGTGCAGGTTCTGAGCTCTAGTAAATAGAGGCTATTTTTAAAGAATTGTTTGAAAAATGAAAATTGTAAGATGGACTAATTACAGATGTGTCTTTAAAAAACTGTTTAACATTACTTAGGAAACAAAGCATTTGAGTGTTTAATTGGGTTGGAATTGGCGTATCTGAAGTTGGATTTTAAGCAATCCTACTATTTAAAGGAGTTGAATGTTAAACTTATTATAAGGGACAAACACGTGTTGAAAACGTTTTGAAAACCGAACGGTAGATAATTTCTTTCAGGTAAAGCTTTCAAGCATTAGTTTCTAGCCCCACATGATCATAAGAATTTGTGTGTGTGCATACAGATGCATTAATTATATGTGTATAAGTTTATGTGAGTATGTGAACGCATTATTGATTTCATGGTTTTTCACTTCAACACTGATTT